CCTAGATCCTTCCTTAATCTAGACTTGAGATATATGAACTTGAATAGCTTACGCCTCTCAGTCTCGTAACCTTCCTCTAATTTATCGATGGAGGCGTGATAAAATATTTCATTAACTGTGTCCAAATAACTTTTCCTCATTAGATTGCAGAAACGGGAACGATACCATAATTTTTGCAACAGTTCAAAAAGGCCAAATGACAGGATTGACTTACAATTGTCTTCTTTGTCCGGCTGTAATTAGCGCATTGTTTGGCAATCTTACTTCCAAACCTTCTTTGTTGATTTTTACTTTTACTTCTTTTATTATTTATTTGTAATCCTTATAATCCTTATAAACTTTTACCTCTTGAATAGCCTTCAGGCTGCAATGCCCCATGTTACCAGACAGCTTCGTCTTCTTTGGGATGGCAGGATGGTTCGACTTCTCTTCAGTGAGCTCTATGAACAAGATGGCTTAAATGCCACTAGCCAACCAACTCATCCTCAAGGTGGCGTAGAGGTGCGAACCTCAACCAATACCACTCTAGTCCAATCGCAATCAGCAATTGAGGCTGGCCGTTTAAGCAAAGCCAATCCAACCCGAACCTCTATTATTTCTCCTGTTCTTGGTCAAGCTGATGCGATGACTGCTCCCTCGTTCAAATTCTACTCTGGCCCAAGTAGTTTGTCTTTATTGGTTGATAATTAACATTATTCGCTCTTATTTCAGCGTACAGCTTCTTTACTAGAACAACTCGCTTACTCATAAAACTTTATATTATTTCCATATTTTGTTTCCATAGAATTTATCACATGGAATTACCAATCTCGCTGCACTCCACTGGTTACTTCCGTATTATCGCATTTACTTAGGTTATGGCCTTGAGACAAGTCTAACTTTTCCTTTTTATAGAGTACAGTGCGCTTCTATACCATGTAAAGTATTTAGTTGGGGACCTATTTAGGCCTGAGTTAGTATGCCGACTAGTGATGCCCTAACCGAATACAAAGCATGCTAGTATATTAGTTAACTACATCATCTTGTGGGTGCAAAAAAAATCTCATTTAGTATCCTTTATCGCGGGTACTTTAGATACATTTATCATCAGTTTTAACTTCATAACTTGTGTACATTCAAATCGTCAGATTTGAGTTAGCCATGTATTCAGCGTCGTTTTAAATTACATTTATTAATGAGATGTATTCACCCTATTTCGTCTAAGGTGATGAAGGACTGGTAGTATAATTTTCCCACAATGA